ACCAACCAAACATGTTTTTTCTGGAGAATCTCTAACCTGATTCCTCCTCTTACATTTGCTCTGTCTAAGCTGAACTAATATGAGGAAGAACAACAGCACAAAAGCTCATTTACCACCATGTCTGTCATAATCAGGAAGTTGGTCATAAACTAATGCCACAGTTCTTCAGAACAAGAGCAGTGTGTGATGAGACGCTGCAAACTCAGAGTTCATTGCTCTAATAGTGTCTCTTCTTTCACATCTGTTCTGAAGACACAAACAGTTCTAGACTCTGCAGTCCATCCTGAACCTCAGATGCCATCAGTTGCTCTGTTCCTAGAGTACATGTATTGTGTTTCTTTGGCTAAAAGGTATTTGTTCAAATCAGAAAGACCAGAGAAACCACAGACCGTAAACATTATTTTCAACAACGACTTTACCAGCATAGTGCTGTTAGTTACAATCACCAGCTTCTGATTTCAAAACATGGTGAGCAGAGATTCAAGCCTGAAAAAGGACACAAAAAGAACCATTAAAAGTCACACAGAAAGAAGACACTTAGCAGAGTTACGTTAAGAAAGTTCAAAACGTTTCTTTTGGCCTTGTTGAGAGTTGCAAGTCATGTGACTTGGCTTCACACACTGTCCTCAGATCAGTTCCATTCTGCTGTTCTCAATAACTTGTCCTAAAATAGAATCTAATAAACCAGAAAAGCCAATAAACAATCGAACAACTTAAAAACAAAGATATCCAAGCAAAATTAAGTTATATTTTCTGATCTAGTTTAAATTCACTCGATTAAGTAAGGTGACTCCTTTCTCATGTATAATTAAACTAATTTGAACTCGGCAGCTACATCGAAACCACATGGTGACCACAACAATGCCTTTTAAAAATAATTTTTTCTATTGTAGAAAGGATATCACATGCTCTTGTTCAATGACATTCTTTTCCACCTACTGGCCTCACCTACTGAAATTAAAGTCTCAAAAAGCAGAGAACTACAAAGACACACGGAGAGCATCTACCATTTAAATGACGGAGGTCATGGGAACAAAAATGCCTCAGCCTGCTTATGGCAATATAAATACTGATGGAACACGGGATATGGACAGACGCAACAAGAGAAACCAAACACCTCAAACACAAACATTAGGAGATCAATTCTCAATATAACCTGGGTGCTTATTAGCATGCATATTACTAGTATATTGGCAGTTACCTTACTATTACATTACTAATTATTAATAAGCAGCAAATGAGGAGTTTATTGAGACAGAAGTCATGGTTAGTAAATAGTGAGAATTGATCCCCAAACTAAAGTGTGACCAAGAAAACTTTTATCTTTGTATCTGTCATATTCAGGAAGTGACTGTGTGAATATCGGAATCTCCAGAACAGCTGTAGTGTGTTTGGTTCTGCTGTGTGTTCTTTTGATGACTGCAGTGATAGTGCTGTGTGTCCACATCCATACCAAACAACACAAACTACACAGAAGAGACAAACCAGCTACTAACCAAGATCACCAACCTCACAGAAGAAAGAGACCAGCTACTAAACAAGAACATAAACTTGACAAAAGAAAAATATGGATTACTAACCAAAAACAACAACCTGGTTAAAGAAAGAGTCCAGTCCAATCAGGAGAAAAGTGAAATGTTTAAAGGCCTTCATGAAATAGGTAATGTTAAACTTTAGCACAACTATGCACACACATTCACTAATATATATATATATATATATATATATACAGTATATAAGCATGTGGAAAGGCACTGCCACCTATAATGGCTATTCCTGACAACAGACCTAATTTTAAATTGACCCCTGCCTTGGAATAACTGACAACAATGGATGCTTGGGATGATGCATAAGATATTTGTCCATTGTGGCTGGATTACCAGCTCAGGTTTGCATTTTTTTTCCTAATAATTAATTGGCATGTCATCAATTATTCTGTTGATTGACTTATTGATTGAATAATTGAATGAATGAATTCATGATTTAATGATTGATTGATTGATTGATTGGCTAATGGCTAACTGACTAATTGATTGATTGATCGATTGATTGATTGATTGATTGATTGACTGATTGGCTAACTGACTAATTGACTGATTGATTGATTGACTGATTAATGGTCTGAGTTTTGGCTCTGAACATTGTTCAGCAGCAGTGTCTCTACTAAATTGAAAGTATAATTACCTGCTTCAAGAACAGAGAAGTTACCTCAATACTAAGATAAGCTTTTCAGTTGTGAAACTATTTATTTGATAAAGCAGCAGGGAATTGCTAATAACAAATTTCTGTGTGCGTGTATTTCTGTGTGTGCGCGTTTAATGAGCAGCATGTTTTTGTGGATTTCTTTTGCTGTTGCAGGCTCTAAGGACCTTAAGAAAAGTGATATGTAACTCTAATGTGTTTCATAAAAAAAGTTCTAGTAGCTGATCTGGTTGTGTTTACAGATGGACAGATCTATCAGTCCAGTTTTTACTTTGTTTCCTCGGAGTGGAAGAGCTGGAATGAGAGCAGAAGATTCTGTACAGAGAGAGGAGCAGATTTGACTATCATAAACAGCAGAAAGGAATGAGTGAGTGAATAATAGAACGGGGCACACAAGTTTGTGTTACACCCTTATTTATGTCTACTCAGCACTGCAGATGTTAAACACTGCTGTCTGGTTTATTCTACTAGGAGTTCATTCAAAAGATTTCTGGTGGTGCTTCAATTGGCAGTCTGGATTGGTCTGACTGACAGTGATGTGGAGGGCAGATGGAAATGGGTTGATGGCATCACATTGACCTCTGGGTGAGAAAACACTGAATTGAACTGATTATTATCTAATAAATTATTCTCACAGTCAATATCATATCACACAAAAGCAGCACTGAACATCTAATGCTGATCTGTAGTTTCAGCTTTTGGGGGACTGGAGAGCCCAATGGACAAAGAGGAGAGAACTGCATTGCCTCTTATCCATCAGGGTGGTATGATTATCCATGTAGCAATGCTTTTAAATGGATCTGTGAGAAAAAATTAAAAAATGAGTAATCAAAAATGAGTAATCAAATGAAACAGCTATATTTTAACTCAACATCTGATTTCTGTAACTGATTCAAGCTGCTGCTTACCCTCACCATAGTTGTAATTAATGGCAGTAAACTATGATGTCTTATTACAATTAATAAAACATTATTTAATAAATGAGTCCAAATGAGGAGTGCATGCTGTCATAAACAGTGTCTCTTCTGTCACATCTGCCCGGGACTCGTGCAAAAAACTGTCACTGGGCCAGTACCCTTTTGAAAGATACTAATATATAGCATTATATATACTGATATGTACAATTCAGTTAATTATATGCAGCACTTATATGCATTCTTTAGGGGTAAATAAGGTGCAAAAGTGTATCTTTTGAAAGGGTACCAGCTTTTGTACAATTTCTGTGGAGAGTGTGAAGACACAAAGGTTCTAGACCCTGCAGTCCATCCTGAACCGCAAATGTTGTCAGGTGCTCTGTTCCTGAAGTGTAGTACTGATGAAAACAATTCAAATCAGAAAGACCTACATAGAGATAAATCCAGCATTAGTTAGCCACGACTGTCTCAAGAAGAAACTTCAGTAAATGTTTGAGAATGCTGCTGAGTTTTGTGAAATGATTTTAAAATACTTGTCTTCTACATGACCTAAATATGGAAGTGGCTCTGAGGGACAGAGAAACCACAGTGCTTTCAATATCAACTTTACCGGCATATGCTGTTAGTATACAACCAACAGCTTCTGTGGAACAGAAGATGATTTCAAGATTTAAAAGTTGGAAAGTGGAGATGTCAAGCCTGACACAAAATCACCATTAGAAGTAGCTTCAAATGTATACTTTTAGATCCTCAAATCATTGGACCCATTCACCTTTGCAACTGCAAGTGCCTCACCATCAGAGGCTTTGCTGGGGATTCTGGGCCCCTTGTACAGGTTATTGCTTCAGGCCCCCCTGAAACTGTTTCACCATTACTCCCTGTCCAATGCCCCTGGTCACCGTAACTGAGTTTTTTATGTGTCAAGAGTTTCAAACCTGCAAGCAGCTAGTCAGCAGTGGTTTTGCTTTGAATACATTCACTTTAACCACTGCAGAAACACATTTACCACTATGTATGTTAGGAAGTCGGTCAAAAGCAATGACTGACGCAGTACCTCAGATTAGCTGCAACTGAGATAAGTTTCTGAGCAATCTTAAATTCACTAAATTCAGCAAGATCACAGGCTTTGCTAATTTAAATTTGGCAGCTGTTTCTGCTGCTCCAAACTTCTAGGACCAGAACAATAAAGTGCTGAACCGAGCGACACCAAATCAAATCATGTGATTTACACTTTACACTTTATCAAGACTATTAATTTTTTTTTACTTACGGTTGCTATGCAAATGAACTGGTATGAACACACTAGACTTCACACATTTTCATGTACTTTGACATACTTTGGACTCATCTGCTGAAAGGACAGTCTCAAAAAGCAGACAACTGCAGAGTAGAAACAACGTCTATAGTTGCACGGCTGATTCACAGTGACTGAAAATGTCAGAGAGTATTTATGGCAATATAAACACTGATGAAATATGGAAAATGGACAGCAGAGATGGAGAAGAGATGGACACCGACACAAAAGCAGATACTATGAAGAGTCACGATGTCAGGACAGGAACAGAGAACCAAACACCTGAACATACAGGTAGGCCTACTGAGACTCATTTCATTATAATAAGAAGTGACATTAATATTTTATTCATTCAAAATAACTTATTTTCTAATATTAAATCTTTATCTTATTGTCTGCCATCTTCAGGAAGCGATTCAGCGAAGATCAGAAACTACAGAGCAGCTGTAGTGTGTTTGGTTCTGCTGTGTGTTCTTCTGCTGACTGCAGTCATAGTGCTGTGTGTCCACATCCATGCAAAGAGCACAGACTACACAGAAGACAGAGATGAGCTACTAACCAAGATCACCAACCTCACACAATTTGCTATTACTAAAAACAAGTTTCATTATTCAGTGTACTGTAGGTGGGAATTATGAGCTAATAGCTGAACTTCTTGTGTTTACAGATGGATGGTTATACTCTAACTTCAGCTTTTACTTTATTTCCTCACTGAAGAAGAGCTGGTCAGAGAGCAGAAGATACTGTATGGAGAGAAGAGTGGATCTGATCATCATAAACAACAGAGAGAAATAAGTGAGTGAAAAAGAGAGCAGAGGAAAAGAGAAGGCCTATATATTTTCTTATATGGTATGTGGATGTCTATTTGGAAGTTGCATGTCTGTTTTTTTTTTTTTTTTTTTATTAGGCAAGAATCATTAGCACTCACGTGGGTTAGGGATTTAAATAAACCAGTGTTGTTTTAGTATAATTGAGAGACTTGTATAGTTTTTATTATTTTTAATTCGTTTTGTTTTTTTTTTCAATTCTATTTCATGTTTTAGCAAATGTGTTGTGTTTTTGTCATTTTATTAATTTCTGCTCTGGCAGCACACTGACCTCTGGGTGAGAAATCACTGAACTGATTATCATGTAATAAATTATTCTCACAGTCAGTATTATATCACACAGAAAGCAGCACTGAACATCTAATGCTGATCTGTACTTTCAGGTTCTGGGTGTCTGGAAAGCCCACTGGAAATAGTGGAGAGAACTGTGTTGTGTCTTTTTCCTCAGTTCCCATTGAAAATAGTACACAATTTTTTTTTCTTTCTAATTTTTTACAATTATTTTTCAATTAATAAAGTATTTCAGATTAAAATAGAGACTAGGCCTTTAAAATCCAATTTTTGAAGGCAGAATAGCACCTCCTGGTGAGAGCAAAAAAAAAGAAAAACCTGTCATTTCATGGTGTAACCACTAGATTTCTGTATAGGACTCTATAGAGAGGCTTGTGAATTCCCTAGTTGTGTTTATACATAATTGTTTACTTTTATTAGGTTGTGGATTTAAATGTATATTAAGGCATTCTCAAAGACTACTTTTTTCTATATATATATATATATGTGTATAATATACTATAATAGTATATAATAAGCTTTAATAAAGTTTTAAGGGATTTTGAACTGATTTTAATTTTGAGTTATTTAATTTTGATACAATTTTATCACAGTTAACACAACATACATAGGACCTAATCAATGAAAAAAAAAAAAAATCTTAACCAATGGCTGGTTTAACAGTTTTTTTTTTCCAGGTCTGTTTGGTGATGCAGGAAAGAGGAAAATAATTTTTATCTTAAACATTAATTTTAATAGTTTATAAAAATGGTAATATATTTTAATGATATTTACATTAAAGGTTTAGCTACACGTTTATTTTCTAGTAGTCTACAAGCAAACTGTTTACATGGGGAGAAATAAAGATCTGTATCATTTCTAAGTTTTTTTTATTTTTATAAGCAGACAGGAAATGACTGCTCAGCGCGGTCACAGCAGTATAGTTAACATTCAGCCTCTTAAAGTATTAGTACACAGCAGTACAGTCCAGCAACTTGGCTCCAAAAGACCTGAGAAAGCATTGAGATATGGAAAGAAGAGATGTAAGGGAGATGATCACTGATGAAAGCAGAGATGCTAGAAACCGTCATAATGTCAGGACAGAAACAGAGAACTCAGACACCAAGAGACACCAAACACCTCGACACACAGGTACTGAGAATCATTTCATTATAGTATCACAAACTAACATGTAGATTAGAGTCATGTATGTGTTTAAGACATATTTATGTAAATATTTATCATATTTGTGATCTACAGGAAGTGACTGTGTGAAGAGCAGAAGCTCCAGAGCAGCTCCAGTGTGTTTGGTGCTGCTGTGTGTTCTTCTGCTGACTGCTGTCATAGTGCTGGGTGTCAATCTCCATAATATGATTGAGGAGTTTTACATCAAGAACAAAAATCTCACCGACGAGATACAGGAGTTAGAAACCAAAAAATCTAACTTGGACAATAATATTAAAAAAATATCATCTGAGAAAATAACCCTAACTGCAGAAAATCAAGACTTACACAAGAAAATTAAAGAATTGTGGCAGCAGATAAGCAAAATGGGTAATACGGAACTACATTAAAACTACACAAATATTCAATATTAAAAGGACACAGTCGATATGTTTTGGGTATAACTTGCTATAAATAGGTTGTGTTAATCAGTGTGGATGGGAATACAGAGTTAATTATTGTAGCTGCTTGTGTTTTGCAGATGGATGGAAGTGCTATCAATCCAGTCTCTACTATGTTTCCTCAGAGAATAAGAACTGGACTGAGAGCAGAAGAGACTGTACAGAGAGAGGAGCAGATCTGATCATCATAAACAACAGAGAGGAACTAGTGAGTGAAAGAAAGTGTGTGTGTTTGTGAAGTACTAAGCTATAGTTTAGTCATTTATTCTGAGATATCTTCATGCAGAAAGTCGATTCACATGTAAAACAAATACTAAAACAATTAGCGGGGTAAGGTTTGGGTAATTATATTCACAAGTGTTTTTGTTTATTCAAACATATTTATATTATTAGGACTTTGTGAAAACAGTTTCTGGTGGTTCTGAAGTCTGGATCGGTCTGACTAAGGTGGAGGGCACATGGAAATGGGTTGATAGCAGCATACTGACCCCTGGGTAAGAAATCACTGATTTAAAATATTGAATTCAACTTAAAATATTTCAGACTATTATTCTACTTCTAGAACCAAATTGATCAAATGAAACGCCTTCGAACACTTTTAAGTTACATCCACCAAACTCCGCACAGAACTACAGCCTGTTCTGACAAAGTCTACCAGCTGCCTATTCATCTATCCATCCATTCAACTACCCACCGACCTAGCTACACACTGGCCCCTTTTGTCTGTACAACTAAGACTATGATTGCAACCAACAACAAACATCATAGAAATGCCTGAGCCACCACATAGCATACCTTAGTACCCAAAACACCATTGCAACAGCCTAGCAATGCTCTACAACAACTTTGAGCCACTGCCTACAGTCATTCTGTATATTGTGTGCCTATATGGCCATTAAAACAGTCAAACTTTTCAAATGCTTTTAAACTTTTAAACAAACTCAAAGTTAGTCCTGACTTTATCTCACAGTCAGACACCTAATGCTGGTCTGTTGTTGCAGGTTCTGGGCTTCTGGAGAACCTAGTGATAGCTCTGGTAAAAAGGATTGTGCTGTAAATCTGTCATCAGGGTTTGCTGATTATTCATGTGATAAACCTATTAAATGGATCTGTGAGAAGAACAATTTGAAGAACTAATTACACTGAACGGTTAATAAAGGGTTGTTACAACATGTTTGGTCTCATTTCACTTATTCTTCTTACAAGTTCTCATGTAATAAATCATCTTTATCACTGAAACTCTGAGTAAGCTCATTTGTGATTCTATTATATTTTGTTACTGATACAACATCTAGCAAAGTCACACTTAAAGCTAAAAAGTTTCAATATTAACACTAACTCAATGGATAAGTTTGGGGTGTGGCTATTTCGTTTTTCCTTCAAATTCTGCCTGGTAACGACTGTGACGCAGAAACTACACACTTCACATTTAAAGGGATAGTTCATCCAAAAAGAAAATTATGTCATTAATTACTCACCCTCATGTTGTTCCAAACCCACAAGATGTTAATTTATCTTCGTAACACAAATTAAGAATCCAAGAGCTTTCTGACCCTGCATAGACAGCAATGCAATTGACACATTCAAGGCCCAGAAATGTAGTAAGGTCATCGTTAAAATAGTCCATGTGACATCAGTAGCTTAACCTTAATTTTGAACATGGTAGTTGTGTGGCTGTCTATGCAGGGTTAGAAAGCTCTCGGATGTCATCAAAGATATCTTAATTTGTGTTCCAAAGATAAACAAAGGTCTTACATGTTTGTTTCAACATGAGGGTAAGTAATTAATGACAAAACTATTCCCTTTAAAAAAGAGAGGAGCAGATCTGATCATCATAAACAACAGAGAGGAACTAGTGAGTGAAAGAAAGTGTGTGTGTTTGTGAAGTACTAAGCTATAGTTTAGTCATTTATTCTGAGATATCTTCATGCAGAAAGTCGATTCACATGTAAAACAAATACTAAAACAATTAGCGGGGTAAGGTTTGGGTAATTATATTCACAAGTGTTTTTGTTTATTCAAACATATTTATATTATTAGGACTTTGTGAAAACAGTTTCTGGTGGTTCTGAAGTCTGGATCGGTCTGACTAAGGTGGAGGGCACATGGAAATGGGTTGATAGCAGCATACTGACCCCTGGGTAAGAAATCACTGATTTAAAATATTGAATTCAACTTAAAATATTTCAGACTATTATTCTACTTCTAAAACCAAATTGATCAAATGAAACGCCTTCGAACACTTTTAAGTTACATCCACCAAACTCCGCACAGAACTACAGCCTGTTCTGACAAAGTCTACCAGCTGCCTATTCATCTATCCATCCATTCAACTACCCACCGACCTAGCTACACACTGGCCCCTTTTGTCTGTACAACTAAGACTATGATTGCAACCAACAACAAACATCATAGAAATGCCTGAGCCACCACATAGCATACCTTAGTACCCAAAACACCATTGCAACAGCCTAGCAATGCTCTACAACAACTTTGAGCCACTGCCTACAGTCATTCTGTATATTGTGTGCCTATATGGCCATTAAAACAGTCAAACTTTTCAAATGCTTTTAAACTTTTAAACAAACTCAAAGTTAGTCCTGACTTTATCTCACAGTCAGACACCTAATGCTGGTCTGTTGTTGCAGGTTCTGGGCTTCTGGAGAACCTAGTGATAGCTCTGGTAAAAAGGATTGTGCTGTAAATCTGTCATCAGGGTTTGCTGATTATTCATGTGATAAACCTATTAAATGGATCTGTGAGAAGAACAATTTGAAGAACTAATTACACTGAACGGTTAATAAAGGGTTGTTACAACATGTTTGGTCTCATTTCACTTATTCTTCTTACAAGTTCTCATGTAATAAATCATCTTTATCACTGAAACTCTGAGTAAGCTCATTTGTGATTCTATTATATTTTGTTACTGATACAACATCTAGCAAAGTCACACTTAAAGCTAAAAAGTTTCAATATTAACACTAACTCAATGGATAAGTTTGGGGTGTGGCTATTTCGTTTTTCCTTCAAATTCTGCCTGGTAACGACTGTGACGCAGAAACTACACACTTCACATTTAAAGGGATAGTTCATCCAAAAAGAAAATTATGTCATTAATTACTCACCCTCATGTTGTTCCAAACCCACAAGATGTTAATTTATCTTCGTAACACAAATTAAGAATCCAAGAGCTTTCTGACCCTGCATAGACAGCAATGCAATTGACACATTCAAGGCCCAGAAATGTAGTAAGGTCATCGTTAAAATAGTCCATGTGACATCAGTAGCTTAACCTTAATTTTGAACATGGTAGTTGTGTGGCTGTCTATGCAGGGTTAGAAAGCTCTCGGATGTCATCAAAGATATCTTAATTTGTGTTCCAAAGATAAACAAAGGTCTTACATGTTTGTTTCAACATGAGGGTAAGTAATTAATGACAAAACTATTCCCTTTAAAAAAGAAAATAATGAATTTCAATCATTTATAAAAGTAAAAAAATGCAAATTCAACCAAAGGCTAAACAACATGTCTAGTTTTTCTAGCAGTGTACTCAAAATGTGTGTTTGTGCGTGGGGGGAGATCTTTATCATTTATCTACAAAAATGTTTTTATATAAGCAAACAGGATATGACTGCTCAGTGTGGTCACAGTGGTGTAGTTAATGTTCAGCCTCTTAAAGTATTAGCATAAAACAGTGCAGTCCACACACCAGCAACTTACACGATTTGACTCTAAAAGACCAAAAATGTGCAAGAGGACCAGCACAGGTACTAAGACTCATTTGATTATAAAAATAACTAACACACATTTTAGTCCTGTGAGTAATTAACATTTATCTTCATATCCGTCATTTTCAGGAAGTGATTCTGTGAAGACCAGAAGATACATAAAAGCTACAGTGTATTTGGTGCTGCAGTGTGTTCTTCTGCTTGAGGCCATTATTTTGCTGCTTACTGAACACAGAACTAAGACTCACCAGTATGAAAACAGTGCGGAAACCTTCAATAAAACAAGGATCAAGCTACTTTCTGAGATTGAAAACTTGTTAAAAATGAACGATGAATTAGTGAATGCCCATAACGAAATGACCAAACAAAATCACCAGTTAACTGAGGAGGAAAAACTACTGTCAAAACATCTTTGTGAAATGGGTAATCTTGAACTATACACTAAAACTACACAAATATTCATTATTAAAAATATATCGTATGTGTGTAGTACAAGCTGTTATTAGTAAGTTCCAATTCAGGGTAAATGAGAGGTAAATGAGAACAAGAGGCTTGCAACTAATATGGTTGTGTTACCAGATGGATGGACGTGCTATCAATCCAGTTTATACTACATTTCCTCTGAAGAGAAAAACTGGAATGACAGCTATCAAGATTGTTTGAAGAGAGGAGCAAATCTAACTATTATAAACAGCAACAAAGATAAAGTGAGTAAAACTAACTCAAAATGATTCACTTATATTAAATGTATGTTAGTTACGATATTAAAACATTATTTTAATGAAATTCTATAATTAGGATTTTTTAAAAACTTACGGTGAAGTCTGGATTGGTCTAACTAATATGGAGGGAACATGGAAATGGGTTGATGGCAGCACACTGACCTCTAGGTGAGAAATCATTGAATTGAACCTATAATTATATAATAAATGTTTCTCGCAATCTGCATCATATTACATAGAAACATCTAATGATGGTTTGTAATTTCAGCTTCTGGGCATCTGGAGAGCCCAATGGACATACAAAGAAGGACTGTGCTGTGACTTCAAAGCATCTTGACAAACCAGAGTGGAACTACTATCCTTGTAGTTCTGCTTTTAAATGGATTTGTGAAAAATAAAATCTGTAATATGATCGCTAATAGGAAGCAGGTAAAAATATAAATGTGTACTTGTATTGCCTTTTTTTTTGTAAGCTAAAGATTGTTTCTTCAAAAAGTGCCTTTGTAATTAATCTTCTTTATTAAATCATTGAGGAAATAAATTTGTTTCTATGTTGTTGGTGCACGTGTGCAGCTTTTGAAGCTTTCTGCGGTTTTAAAACACATAGCAGCTAGTATTGCGCTGTTGTGCTGTTGTACTTCCGATATCTCAATAGCAGTAATGCTAATAGCAGAAGTACCAAACAATGAGCTCCAACACACATCAGATCAAGAGTCTGCATCTTCACACTAGAGAGAATGGACTGAAGTTAGTGCTAGGCTAACAGCTAAATCTAGCTAATATTCACTATGATAAAAGCATGACCTGACACCTGTTTGCTAATGCTAATATTGCACTTAGCGTGCTTTACACAGGGCCCAGTCTGCTGTTAACTGAGGGCATCCTGAAAGATGCATGCAAAATCTTACAACCACTGAGAAAGTATCCAAAGGCAGATAACTTAAATCATGTCTACTTAATGGATTTGCTACAAGGGTTGATCAGTTCTTCCAACAGCAAAAAAAAAATATGGCCAAAAAAAGTTACTCTGAAACACCACGAGACATTTTGACCACAATGAATTCTTCTGAAAACCTCAAGAGCAGAAACATAGAAGCGGAAGTTCAGAATAGGACATGAACTCTCCATGAACAGATGTAGAACAACATTCACCAATTGAAGGGTTTCAAAGTTACAGGAGATACAGGAAATAAACAGAAAAAGTTAAGAGGAGATAATTATTGATGTCGGTGCATTAGAATTTACCTGCAATATATGATCATTGCTTAACTGATTATGGAGAGATAAAATCAGCAAGGAACCTTAACTTCATATATACTGTATGTATTTTATATTAAGCTTCATCAAGAAATAAAATAAATAAAATAAATAAATAAAATAATTACGTTAAAAGTTATCGTCTTAGTGTACTATCTGTATCTGCATTGAATGCAGTGTAAGTCGCTTTGGATTACAGTGTATACCAAATGCACAAATGTAAATGAAAATGCAAAGAGAGAAACATTGTGATGATGTGACTCCAGAGTCACAATAAATATCAAAATAAATATCAAAATAAAAAGAAGGTGAAGCTCAAGAGAAGATAAAGAAGATCTATGCTAATGTCGATCCTATAAACAGTCATGATGTCAGGACAGAAACAGAGAACTCAAACACCAAGCTTAAAACACATGTACTCATTCTATTATAACTACTAACACATTTTAGTCACGTTAGTGTTTAAGGGCCTCATGATATGATCATGCCAATATCCTGTGATATAATAAAGATGTCTCCTGAGAGAAAATGTCTCTTAGTGACAGAAACCACTTATTAGTTTCACTTTCTCTAAAGTGTTTTTAGATGCACTTTGTTTCTTCCACATTCAAATGTTTTACCTCTAAAGAAATGAACAGTACTTTGAAAATAGGTTACACTCACAAGATGAAAACCATTAAGTAGTCCAACATTTCAATCCAACATTTCCTCTTATTCAGCTGATAATATAGTTTGTAATAATTAAAAAAAAAGTTTTAACTTAATTTATACAGCTGTGCATTGGAGCAGCACTTCTTCTGATAGGTGTTACTACAGTGAGACTTGTGGCATTGGTGTCACTTGCAGCATCAGCATCTGAGAAGTGCTTGTTCACGCTACCAAAAGCAACTAGTTTTCAACCAGTGTATTTGTTATACAAAGATTGCAACTGTAATGAAGGAGCAACTATGGTGAAGAGTAACTACGGTGCATTTCATTATGATCTGCAGTACATGAGTACAAAAGATAAAGCTTACAAAAAAAAACAAAAACAAACGTACGTCTTACTAGGATATCACGTTCATGACCACAGTGGTGCCTTATAAAAGTAAAAGCTCAAAGCAGAAGTTCACTTTCAGTCAGTCACGCTCGACGTTACGTCAGTGACTGACAAATTGGGATCTCGCTAGAGAGACCAATCACCTTCGAGTGTTAACAAAACAAGCCAATAAGTGTTGGCGTGCAATCTTAGCGTCGCGCACCCCGCCCTGCAGCGCGGGTATATAAGGAGAGTGCGTGCAGTCGCACATTTAGCTTTTTGCTTCAGAGCCGAGCCTTTCAGCTGGTCTGGTTACCAAGCAAGAGTGTCTGCAAGACAGCATTTCTCAAGTAGTGTTGGTGTTACGGCGTGTCAGCCAGGGTTGCTCGTCTAGTGCTGCTGCCTGTGGTGTTTGGACGGCGTGCTGCAACTCGTCAAACTGCGGTTGCGCTGCGACCTCTCCTTGGCGCTTCAACACTTTTATTACTAAAAGAGCAAATCTAAAAGAGCTCCGCGAGTGACGCGGCGTCTTTTTAAAGATGGCCTTCTACTCGTGTGTTTCTGGATGTGGTCGCTTCCTGGCTTCATCTGATAGTCACGATCGCTGCATCTCGTGCCTGGGCTTTGAGCATGCTGAAGCAGCACTCGTGGATGACTCATGTTCTCATTGCGGGGACATGACCATTGCGATGTTGTGATCGAGGCTCCTCTTCATCAAATGAGGAGGAGTCCCCCTCCCCATGCCCCGTTCTAGTTCCTCTGTCTCCCAGCAGCAGAGGACTACTTCGGCGTGTGGCCAGGGCGATCTGAGGATTACAGTGAGGGCTTCCCCATCGAGTGCGTCTCCGTGGGCCCCTCACTCCTCCAGCACATCGCACCCTCTGGTGTTCTGCAATGAGGTGGCTGAGTCCCAGGACAGGGCGGGGTCTAGCATCTCATTCGGGCCTCCGGCAGATGACAGGATGTCGATCACTGCATCGGGGGACAAGCTAGGCTCTGGAGATGAAGACTCGGCTGTGCTGCCTCCGTCAGGAAGAGTGGCGTTGCCCGAGTCAGATCCAGAGCTGACTGCTATACTTTCCCGGGCCGCAGAGAGATCTCCCGAACGCTCGAGGTTGGATGATTGGTTTCTGGGGGTGCTGCAGGCCGATCGTCGGCAGCCACCTCCGGTTCCATTCTTCCCGGAAATGCATGAAGAAGTTACTAGATCTTGGAGGGCATTTTTTTCTGCCCGAAACAGAGCTAGTGCTTCTTCCGTCCTCACTGCCCTCGATGGCGGGGCGGCTAAAGGGTATGTGGAGATCCCCCCCAGTCGAGTGCGCTATTGCGATGCAGCTCTGTCCGCAAAGTGCTGCCACCTGGCAGGGTAATCCACGCCTCCCATCCAGAGCTTGTAAGTTCTCGTCCGCTCTAACGGCCAAGGCTTACAGAGTTGCTGGACAGGCCCTCTGGGTGATGAAAGTCACGGCGCTGTCCATCAGTTGGTGGTACTCAAACATTCAATAAAAGAGCAGTTTCCTATTTCTCCAGGTCTCAAGAGGGTGAGGATGGCAGTGTGCGAGGCACAGCCTCAACACTCCCGTCCCCCTCTCCTTTCACCAGCGAGAAGCAGGGCCTGGTCCGAGAATCCTGGTTCTCACGTGCCCCCTGCACAATCGTGGAGCCAGGTAAGTGTTGCACTGTGCACTCAGACCCCACTCTGGACGCTGTGCCTTCCAGGTCGAGTCCCTGCACTTCACCTCACTGCCCCACTGCGGGTACGTCGGTGGTTCCCCTAGTTCCACTTGTTCGGTTCCTGGGGGCTTGGCTAGAGCTCCCCAGACCGTCTCGCTGGCTTACGAGAACCATCAGACTCGGCTATGCGATTCAGTTTGCCCGGCGTCCTCCCAAGCTCAGGGGCATTCGGTTCACCACTGTGCCGAACAAGGATGCGCATTTACTTGCCGGCTTTCACAGGGCACTGGAGGGGGTCAGCAATAGTAGCGTTTTCCATATGGATCCCAATTCGTCAGTCACTGACGTAACGTCGAACGTGACTAACTGAAAAGGAACATCTCGGTTACGTATGTAACCCTCGTTCCCTGAAGGAGGGAACGGAGACGTGACGTTCCGTCACCACAGTTGCTGTACCACCGCTGTACGGCCGAGGCACACCGTCTTGGCTCCACAGCAAAAAACCAAATGTGCGACTGCACGCGCTCTCCTTATATACCCGTGCTGCGGGTGGGGTGCGTGACGCAAAGATCGCACGCCAACACTTATTGGCTTGTTTTGTTAAAGGGATCATATGATGCTTTTTTAAAGATCATTATTTTGTGTATTTGGTGTAACAGAATATGTTGACATGCTTTAATGTTCAAAAAACACATTATTTTTCAAATACTGTACATTATTGTAGGTCCTCTATGCAGGAGAGAGGTCCGCCTCTCTCAAACGCTTCGTTTTCTACAAAGTCCCTCCTTCCGACAAGCGCAGTCTGCTCTGATAAAATGCATTGCTGTTCTGTTGTAAGTAATCTTAAAGATTCCTAAATGCATCTACTTTCGGAAAGCCAAATAAAGTGCTTTTGCTTTTGCCTAGAAACACACAGCGTATCCATGACATGGCTGCTTCAACACTAACTGCGGTTACTGAAACCACGCCTTCTTTCTTTGCGTGCACATTTGGGCGGCATTATGCTAATATTTCCACATAGTGAGGTAGATATGTGGGGGCGTGTTAGAACGAGCCGTTTTAGGGGTGCGTGGCAGAGTCTTAACTTTGATAAAGAATATCTCTTTGGTTTTGAGACTTTAGTCTTTGCAACTTCAGGGATCTTATCTATGCACAATCAGCTTGTAACACTCCAAAGAGAAAGGAAAACTTGAAATCGCATCATATGACCCCTTTAACACTCAAAGGTGATTGGTCTCTCTAGCAAGATCCCAATTCGTCAGTCACTGACGTAACGTCCCCGTTCCCTCCTTCAGGGAACGAGGGTTACATACATAACCGAGACGTTCAGAGCAGTGCAGTCTACTTGAAGCAACAACTTCTAATAATCTCACATTTACCTCCATCTAATTAATGGAATTCATGGAACATGGAATGGGTAAAGATGAAGATAAAGAGAAGATGAACATATATGCTAATGTACATTCTGTAAACATTCATGATGTCAGGACAGAAACAGAGAACACCAGGAAACACCAAACACCTCAACACACAGGTACTGCGACTCATTTCATTATAACAACAACACACATTTGACACACATATAACACATTTGAGTTATAATAATATAGTGTTTAATAATCTTCAGGAACTGATTGTGTGAAGATCAGAAGATACAGAACAGCTGTGGTGTGTTTGGTTCTGCTGTGTGTTCTTCTGCTGACTGCAGTCATAGTACTGTGTGTCCACATCCATACAAACAACACACACTACACAGAAGAGAGCGGTGAGCTACTAATTAACATTACCAAACTCGCAGAAGAGAAAGACCAACTACTAACCAGGAATACAGAACTCACAGAAAAGACAGACCAGCTATTAAATAAGATTGTCAACCTCACAGAAGCGAGAGACCAGCTAGTAAACAATAGCATGCAGCTGACAAAAGAGAGAGATGGATTATTATCAAGTAACCGTTATCTGATTAGAGACCAATTACATCAGGAGAAAAATGAACTGTTGAAAAGTATTCATGGAATGGGTAATTATGAACTATTTTAAAACTAAAACAACCACTTATTAGTAGATCAGTGTGATGGAAATAAAGTGCTAATAGTTGAATTGTTTCTTTTTACAGATGGATGGATTTATTATCAAGCTAATCTTTACTTTGTTTCCTCTGAGAAGAAGAGCTGGACTGAGAGCAGAAGATACTGTATGGAGAGAGGAGCAGATCTGATCATCATAAACAACAGAGAGGAACAAGTGAGTGAAACTCATTTTATAACTATAGTCTAGGGGAAGAAAACTGTTATACATTATCATATAAATGTGTTATTTTTTCCATTTTCTCAGGATTTTGTACAGAAAATATCTGCTAATGCTAATGTCTGGATTGGTCTGACTGACAGTGATGTGGAGGGCAGCTGGAAATGGGTTGATGGCAGCACACTGACCTCTGGGTGATAAATCACTGAACTTAACTGCTTATTACGCAATAAATGATTCTCACAGTCAGTATCATATCACACAGAAAGCAGCACTGAACATCTAATGCTGATATGTTGCTACAGGTTCTGGGATCCTCGAGAACCCAATGGACATAGAGGAGAGAACTGTGCTCTGACTTATTTACCAGGATGGGCTGATTATCCATGTAGTGATCTTTTTCTATGGATCTGTGAAAAGAGCATTTTAAAATAAGTCATCACATGAACTGCAGGTTCATGTACTAAAATACACATGGGTACATTTTCCCCTAAGAACAGCATTATTTCAAGGAACTGCAACTGCTAGAACATAGTTTTTTTTCCTCCATACAGAATAGAATCATTTACAACACCGAACGAAGCAAATGTTTTTTCTTATGGAATTTTATTATAGACTTTTATAATGGACATAAAAAAGGGTAATTAAGGGTAAACAGTAAATTAACTGCTTCGATGTTTGTTTTGAGCAGTTATTACATTAATTATTATGACTGTCCATCAGTTCACAAAAAGAGTGATTTTGAAAGATGGAATACGAGAAGTAAATATATATAATAGTATATCACTTGTACACAAAGTTTGATAAATATGTTTTATAAATATTTGATATGCATAAAACAATGGTGCTGTGTCATGAGTGTACTTGATAGCAAGTAAAGATAAAATTCTGTTTCCTAGACTGAACTGTGTAATAAGATCAGAATAGGGATTGCATTGTTTATTTTATTTTTTTTAAGGTTTAACATCTAATCTTTAACTATTGATTTTGACAATCAAAATATGTAGTCAATAGTCAAATTTAACCACAGTAGCAGAGCCTCAAAGGTACAAGAAATCAAAGCAGTGAAATGAACCTGAACAGAACCAAACAGAACAACATATTTTTACCAATCTGAATATATATCTGAGAGTACTTATGTTACTTATGTTAACAGAACTATTGCTGAGACATAGGAGATGAACAGAAAATGACTTTGTTTGAGGACACAGTAACAATGTGGGGTATGTTCAAAGTTTATTTCCACAGAGACATCACCTGATTTGATTTAAATATCTTGATAATGCTAATATCAATCAATCAATAGTTTATTTCTATAGCACGTTTAAAAACAACACAAGTTGACCAAAGTGCTTTACAGACCAAAAATTACAAACCAAAAAATATTGCACTAGATGTCAAGGAAAAGTTTGTTTTGAGCAGTTATTACACTAATTATGATTGTTTGATGTTCAGTGCTAGTGACAGAAACAGAAATATTTTTAGCAAAACATGTCAAAGGTTTTCCTTAAATGTGCACTCTTTGTAATTTCTTCTACATTCAAATGTTATACTGAAAAAAAAGTACTCTTGAAATGTGTTGCAAATCATGTACACTCATGTAGACTTGTAACCACAAAAAAGTATCTTATACACCTCCATGTGTAACTGCATGTGTTTATTTTTCAAGAAGAGATGCTGTCTCAGTTCAATAAGACTCCGTTCAACTGAGGATGAATTCAAAATGCACTGGTTATCATTTTAAAGCAGGAATGGGCTCTCTCTTAACACTAGAACTACCAAGGCAGTCATTTTGACCGTTTTTAAATTTTAAAATGTAATATCTTTGTTGAAATAAAACCCATATAACTATAATATCCTGACTTTTCCTAAATGTGTGTATATTTTATTATAACATTGTTATTTTATTAAAGTTACAAAACACAAAAGAGTTCTGAGCATTTCTACCTTGAATGGCCAAAGCGGTCAGATTAACCGTTCGCATTACAGACGGCGTATAATTTCTGCTTTTGCGACTTTTTCCCGCAGATGAAAATGCACATCACTGTTGCCTAGCAAATTTTGTTCTAGTTGTTTTTATATTCTATTGCTAAGCTAAAATTCCTGTTTGTAAAAAAAGCCGGGTGGACACCTCCAATACAACAACTGCTGTCATTCAATCTGCCACGGTTCCAGGTAGGCTATGTTAGGCTGGAAGACTATAGCCTGGCTGTTATCAATAATAGCCTACTTCAATGTTATGACAAAATAGTCATAATAATAATAATAATAATAATGGCTATTATTATTTTTTATGCTAGTGTAATGCTATAGCTAATGCATATAGGCTAATTTTAGCCCCGACAAGTCTGATACTGTGAAATAAAACAAACTAATTAGGCTTTTTTTAGCGACAGTGACAATGTTTATTATTACCTATACTATCATAACAGATCCATTTATTCATGGATCACGATTCCAGTGGTGGCTGCATAGAATTGTTTCCAATTCGTCTGATCCATTCCAAACATTTCCAATAACTCCAGAGCGTTGTAAACTATAAAAGTAAAAATGTATTGAAAAAAGATGTATGTAATCATTTCCAAAATTCACAACATGTTTTATCTACAGAAATATTCTGCTTCAGTTCATATTTGTTGGCATTTAGACTTTCAAATACAACATTTTCACTGCGGTGAAAAACTTTTGCTCTCCAGCTTGCCGGACACAAAGCGAGACACGCATATTCTGGAGCGGTCTACATAGCTCTTACACAATTATATATTACAAAAAATATCGTATTTTTTAGGGTGATGACATCATAAAATATGACAACAGACATTCAAAGCTTCATTGTAAAAACTCAAAAGAAGCTTATGGCCATTCTAGTAGTTATAGAATTCCGGTAGTTCTAGTGTTAAAGCAATGGGAAGAAGTGGAAAGTGTTATTGGTGTTTCTTCATGTTTCCTTTTATGTTATCAGATTATTTTTCTTTTCCATTTTGTTATATGAAGGTCACATTAAACTGACTAGAAAAGTTTTACCATCCTTCCATCATTTACTTGTTTTGTTTTCAGTGCAAAGATTCAAGTGTATTCATCTTAAAATATGGAGATACATAATAAAATATGACATTTAAACTATGTACAATTTTTACACTAGTCATGACTGTCAGTTCCTCAATTTCCCTCAAATCAAAACGTTCAAAAGGTGGTGTACGTTTTTTTGAATGAGGGAAAAAAAACATCCTTATAAAAATGTGAATGATGACTGAGCAGAGACCAATATATTGATATTTTTCAGATGAGCTGGCTGTTGACTACTGAGAAGGGTGTTAATGAACTTCCATCTGTTGTGCATTATGCAAAATGGCTGTCACGGCACTTTAAAAAGAGAAAACTTTCTGTAAATGCTCATTTCAAGTGAAAAAAAAAAAAAGAAAATTGAAAACTGCTGAGCATACATAAAGGAACAGTTCACCAAAAACAACACTTCTGCCATTTAATCACCCTTGACATTGATCTGGATCTTTAGCCTTCTCATTTTTGGGTGAAATGTTGCTTTAAGCTGAAATAAACTCTCCTCTAATCTCCTGAATTCCTTTAGCTGAGAAGGTATTTTAAAGAGGCAAGTGTTCAGACGACACAGTCGGGGAGAGTTGGAGACATACTAAATGATATTTCGAAGATCATTAGAATGAAGAACATGACAAAGAAGTCCCTTTTGTATGTGACTTGGCCTTTAACCAGTCTACAGACGGCTGGTGTCTCATAGCAACTGCAGGTGATGCTATGTATCTTACATTATAAGTCTGTTCTGAGGTCTTGAGCTTTAAGTTCTAGAAACAAAGAAAAACTTAAATGTATCAGAATCATTTTCAGCCAAATGTTTACAAAAAGGTTTAATAAATGCTTGCATTAAAACACACACAAATAACAGAGAACATTATCTGTTAGCATTCCAGTGCTTGCCCACACAGGAGGGCAGGTGTATGTGTGTGTGTTCATCATATGCGTGACACAAGTGAAAAACGTGCTCATAGAAACCATTTTAAACTGATCTGGTCAACTCATTGGAGAAATATGCAGTGGACACAGATTTAATGTCAATAACCAATCAAGTATAAAGGTAATAGAAGCCAGGCAGCGAGTATTCAGACCATGTAAATGCCCTCTGAGGCCTTCACCTCTTTGCTTTATTGATTTACAACCTTTTCCAGCCCTTCAGCAACCTTTATTGATTTATCACTTTGTTACAATTATTGGCTATTTGTCCTGTACCTGAGCCAAGAGACATTCAGAAGAGAAGTGTTCATGGATATGGGTATTGAGACAAAAAAAAATAAAAAAAAATAAATAAAAATAAATATATATATATATATATATATATATATATATTACTCATGAATATTAATTTCATTACATGACACTCAAATAAAATAAAAATAAAATAAAAATGATGGGTATCAATAAATGTTGTCTTTCAAAACATTCTAGAACAAAAAACAATGTTGCTAAAATAATAAAGTTACTTAAAAAGGACTTTAAATATATTCCAATTAAATAAAAGTATATTTATTTTCCCCCCCAAAAATTGTGTAAATAAAATAATAAATTGTTTATTTCCAAAAATAAATAAATCAATAAATAATATTTAAAAAAGTTGCTTCTGAAACTTTAACAAAACATATTGTTAAAAAATAATAAAATATAGAAATAACTTTTTAATGTACTAAAAATGTTTAATAAAATAACAAAAGTATTTTAAAAATAAATAAATAAAATATTTCATTTATTTATTTTTTGGCTCAGAGCCTCTGAAAACATCCCCAGTTGGAATCTGAACTGCTGGCCTGATCGGGGCGATTAAAAAAATTGTGACTGTCGAGCCCTGACAAGGTCGCGGCAATCACCGTGTACGTTCCTCCACGGTTCTGTGTAATCGTCTTAACCTGAAACAATTTCCGACAATAACATGCGACTATAAGCCAACACTATTAGAGATAATGAGACATTTATTCAAATGTGATTACATGACTCTCCAACCTAATCTGGGTTAAATTCAAACACGCATTAAAAGGCCCTGCAGCGGCTTTGTCTGAACGAGATTGTGACTATGGCGACAGAGTGTGTTGGGTTAATTATGGCCGTCGTCCACTATTAGCGATGACGAGGCCACATTCCACCGGTCTGTTCCGATAACTTTCGGCCAGCGTTGTAATGAATTGCAATGCAGAGCGGAGAGGAAGCTGCATATCAAAAACAATTAGACTCGATCAGACTGACTCATAATCACTCTAATTATCTGTATTTGCATCCTGATTAAATACGTATCTGCTATGATAAGATGCCACAGTGTATTTATTTGAGACAAACTGCAGGATGGCGAGATAAAGAGACAAATGAAGAAATATCGGGAGGATACAATAACCTCGCAACACCGGGGCAGTTTTTCAGAGCCTTTCCAGCCCTCGTTGACAATTACTGACAACTAAATCACAGCCTGACAACAGGAAATCCTCTTACCAGATCATTCCGTGTAACACCTCATGATTTGAGACGGCCCGGTCACTTTGTGTCATTCAGTGACTGTCAAGTTCAGCCCAAGCAGCTACGGAAATTGCTAGGGAAGAAATGGGCATGGACAGAAAAACCGGGATATGCTGTTCAAAGAAGAGAAACCTGATTCCATTAGAGAGAGGAGAGATAAATGGATTCTATGTAAAGATTGATAGAAAAGGAGAGAAAGACAGCACAGGTGTGAGACAGACCGAGCGAGAGAAACAGGAAACGCCTCTCAACTCTGTGATTTAACGGTCCGGAGAGCCATGCCCGGCGGCAGACGGGGAAACAGTTGGCATGCCTCTCATTACAGTGTCATGCTAGTGTCCCTCTCTCTCTCTTTGCCACCTGTCCAGAATACCTAATGCCACCCTGGCATTTTGCCACCGCCATTGGCTGACATCATCAAAGCGAGCGAAGGTGGGGCGTCACCCCAGACTGGCAGAGAAGAGATGAGAAGTTGTCTATTGCCATATGTTTTTGCCCTTCCAAACCACAGGTCATTACTGCCACTTTTTTTTTTTTTTTTTATTATTTAAGTTTAATTAACCCGTCTATGTGGTCCCTCTTATGGGCCAAGAGCTTGATCCTGACAGAAGCCGAGGGTCTTTAGAAGTGCTAAGCGTTTGTGAGATCACAGAAAAGCAGTCTGTAATCACATCGTCTCCACAGAATGCTCAACACAGTGTCTGACAAAACGGTTGGACAGCATCAAACCCCAACAGCTTGACATGGAGACAGTACCTTCTTCACAATGTGCCATTATAAGTAGCGTTGGGAATCAAGAACTGATACAGTTTTAAATAAATACTAGAACCAAATGATATTCTGTACAGCAAACAATTCCTGAACAGTTCTTTATAGTCAACAGTAACATACAAGCACGACTAATGAAGTCCATTTCCCAAGTTAATGACTCCTATGAGTGATACTTTTTCAAAGAATCAAAAACAGTCTGATTCCTAAATCGAATGACTCTTATGAACAGTTGTTTTTAGTGAATTGAACAACATAGGTATTGGTCAGTGAAGTCTGACTCCTTTATGAGCTAATGATCATGAGCTAATGAATCTTACAAATGTCTCTTTTTAGTGAATCATACATATTCAGATCAATAAGTGAAGTCTGCTTCTCAAGCCAAAGACTCTTGAAGTTCTCAAGCGTGACTAATGAAGTCAGTTTCCCAAGTTAATGACCCTTATGAGTGTGTTCTTTATAATGAATCATAAAAATGCAAGAAGTCTGATTCACAGGTGAATGGCTCTTATGATTGGTTGCTTTTAGTGACCCCCCCCCAGTGAAGCCTGATTCCTGAGCTAATGACTCTTACAAATGGTTTAATTATCAAGCTGATGAATCTTTCGAGATGGTTCTTTTTAGTCTGATTCCTTAGCAAATTACTTATCAACAGTTTGTTTTATTAAATCAGAAACTAACAGTGTGGCTTATGAACCGGTTCTTTTAAGTGCATGAAAAACAAAGATTGACAAGTGATGTCCAATTGTTGAACAAAAGACTCTTATGAATAGTTCATTTGAGTGAATCAAAAACAGTGTGGTTCTAGTCATGCTGTGATTTTGAGTCACTAAAAGAAAACTGGACTTCACTGGTAAAATTGATTCAAAAGCAACCAGTGTAGTCTGATTACCATACAAACGATTGTTTTTATTCCCATCCCTAAATATAATACATGAAAAAATGCAGATTCTGTCAAGATAGGACAAGATTCGGATAGTCAACAGCAGGAGAGCTGTAATGTAACACTAGCACAACCTTTTAATAGCCTTCCCACAATCAATATGCACATTACAACTCCTGTATAATTCAATACGCATATAATTCAATACGTTCCTTGAGCTAAAAAGCCTCCTTGGCTATATTAAGAATGATATAAAACCATATCACACATTTCAGTTCTTAAATGTCAACCCTCTGTGGACATAAACATCCAAGCGTCCATGTAATCAGAAACTTTTTTGTTTGAACTTTCTGCTATTCCCTCCCCTCCACTATTCCCTAGAAGCAAGGCCTTATGGGAAATGTAGTCCATGCTTGTCATACTGAAGAGTCTGTCTTCTCAGGTGTACGTTTTTTATTTTTATTTTTTTTCCATTCTCTACAATATTCTGCAAGGCGACAGTGTCCTAAATGCAATTACTGTACACAGCAGAGCGGAGCGGAGAGTGTCCGCGGGGATCGCCGGTAAACAGGATGCAGTCAGGGGGTGCAGGAGTTCTGCTCTACCTAATTTAATTGGCACGGCTACTCAGTTAGCCCCAGGTGACCGCTACATGGAATCATTGTAAAGAATGTGTTTAAAATCACCCCAGGCTATACTGATGCACCTTTTTTCCTCAAGATCCCTTTGTGTTGACATTTTTTTTAAATTACTTTCTCTTTGTCCCAGGGAGGATCTGTCATCGTCATGATGAGTTTATAAGGACGATATTAAGAGCGTAAACAGTGATGGTACCACTGAGATGA